GGAGTTCTTGAACACCGAGTCAAGCTACGGTGAGGACCTGCGGATCATCAAGGAGGAGTTCTACTGCCCCATGCAGAGCGCCGGGCTGCTGACGGCCGAGCAGCTTGCCGTGGTGTTCAGCAACGTTCAGGAGCTTATAGACGTCAACGACCGCTTCACTGAACACCTGCAGGACAGCATTGACCAGGCCTTCGACCAGGTGACCTTCTTACCTCTCATGAACACACAAACACATCCACAACTTCATCGCATCACTCCTTTGCAACCACAAGCAAAATCTAAACAAGTATGTAGGTGCAATTTTATTGTGACGCATCATCCGTTTCAACCAACACAATCCTGGTGCTGCTACATGGAACTTCGCTCAGGTTTTTTTCCCTGTATCTCCAGCGCTGGGTTTGCAACACTTCATTTACTTTTGAACCTGGCAACTTCAGTGGTTCCCTGCGAGCCGTTGCTTTTCTTGATTTACAACTTTTCCTCTGTTTATAAAGGCCTTTTTGGGAACTTGTCAGTTTCACATCTAACCTACTTTTTTGAATAATATTAATAATATTGCATCTCCAATGGGGAAAAGGAAAAATAAGTAGCATCAAACATTACATACAGGGAAAAGACACAGCTAAACAGACTCAGTGTACTTTGAGCAACAAAAAACACAAGGTGAACAGAACAGAAAGTGGGAGGAATATTTAGGCACTTAATGATTTGATTCCAGAAGGCTATGATGGGAATAGAAATCGGTTATAGTCGCAACATGTTGTGCAAATGCCTCTTGATTGGTCCAGATCCTTTGAATTACGGCTCCTGTCCATGTTTTTCTCCCCTCGGTGTAGCAGGTGAAGGATTTGGTTAAGTTCACCGTAAACTAGCCACACTTATGTCCACCTGCCGTTCAAGCTCTGGGTGACGCTGACTGGACGACTCGGAGTCTGCGACAGCAGTGACTTTTAATTTGAACTGCGTGTGTGTGGTTGGTCTCCAGGGTGACGACGACCTGCTGACCGTGTACATTGGAGAAATCTTTCTAGAGTTCGTCAACATGCTCCCGGCCTTCCAGACCTACTGCCTGCAGCAGTCCACCTCGGTCAACATGCTCAACACTCTGGAGAAAGAGAAAGAGCTGCTCAGGTACTTAACAACGACCCATAGCTGTTCTCCCTGCTGGGCTGTACGATGGAAAAGCTGCTCTGGGAGCTTTCTTCTGTTTCTGCCACAGCTGCTCTGTGTAATTCTTAATGGATAGGACAGTGACTTATCACTTATTCAGAGGAAGGTCTATTTTGAGAGCTAAGCTGCAGTGTTTCATGTTTTCAGACAGAACCACATCCCAGGCTCTTCTCTAACACCCATTAATAAAGTTTTAATTTTCCCGAGACATGTGATGGCTGTACAAATGCCCACCCTCTTTCTCATTTCAGAATATTCCTGGATGTTTCCCAGAACGACAACACCGCATTGCGTCGTATGAACTTGCGCTCCTTCCTCATGGCGCCGCTCCAGCGCGTCACTAAGTACCCGCTTTTGTTGAGCCGCATCATTAAGGTCACTCCTGAATGCCACCCTGACTACGCGCGCCTCCGGGAGGCCAAAAGTCGAGTGGAGTCCCATCTGGAGCACATCAACATGAAGGCCAAGCAGGAGGGCAACGGCGTCACCTGGTCCCTGCGCTCGTTCCGCCGCGACAGCCGCAAGAACCGGGAGGTCATCAACATCGAGATGCGAGAGGTGTCGATGAAGACCGTGGGTTGGGCAAGAGAAAACACCCGGTTCGTCATGGAGGGACCTCTCCAGCTGTCCCAGCCGGCAGATGGTCAGTGGCTGAAAAAGGGCAGCAAGGCCCTCAAGTTCCAAAACGTGCAGAGTCTCCTGATGGTGCGGACACAGAGGGGCGGCGACTCCCCAGGCCAGGCCGCCGACGTCGGACGGCAAGGGGAAGGGACGGGGGAGAGCGTTCGAGACGGAGTGCTGGTCTTAATCAAGGACAAGAGCAGCGGGAAGTTTGCGGTGCTGAGAGAGCCGATCCGTCTCGCAAACTGCGTGGTGTCATCAGATCCGGACTACGAAGACACCTTCGAGGTCCTCGACATCCGGCGGGAGTCGTTTGTTTTCCGTGCCTCGGACAAATCCCGTACCCAGCAGTGGTTCCATCAGATGAAGAGGTACGCCCGAGACTTGGGCTCCTGGAGGAAAAGGCGCAACGCCTTGCCTAACATCATGATCAACGCCAACCAGGCGCGTTCCTGAGGCGAGCCTCCACCACATTGTTGTTCCATTGTACATAACCCCAAATCTCTCAACTCCAGAACTCCGATTGCGACATCTCCTGAGTGACGCCGCTGCTCTGACGTCTTAGATTTCAGTAAACAATCACACAATCCGTCTCACTTTGTGTGTGAGAAAACAAAGCACTTTTCTTTCCTATGAAGCAGTAAGTGCGCCATATAATTGTATGTAGATTTAATTTTGAAGCTGTTACAAAAAAAGGGAGAAAAATACCAGTTTTTTGAGCGACCAAAAAAATACTTGGGCTGTTCTTGAGAGCCTTGATTGTAAAGACTGTTGAGTACTAAAGGTGTGTTTGATGAATAGCATGACTGAACATGACTGGCTGCAAAAAGAGAAAAAAAACAAAACTGTTATGTCATTTTTATACAAGACAGTGAGGATTGCAGACATTTTTTGGTAAGAGATGGTAAAGATTTCTTCTGTTTTTTTGTTTTCTTCCCAGTGGTTTATGTTTTGTTGTCACTGCCCTCTTATCATTGTGTGCTGCCCTCTACTGTCTGTAGGCGGCATAACAACTTTCACTGCCAGAAATGCAGTTGAGCAGAGCCTCTCCATTACGCTGAGAACAGACCTTTAACATATCTGTAATTCAATGGGATTTCATGGAACAGCAATAATCTCAGCCAGTTTAACAAAGTAGCTACTTTATATGCAGTTAATTCCCTCTTAATCTGCAGCTGGTCCTTCTGTTTTATGTTGTGGCAGGTTGACCTGGCCTCTGATATCTGTGTAAGGTTTGACGATTAATGCATCGCGACTCGCAAACTGCGAAAGCCTGTTTTCGTCTTTCAAACCGAAATCATCCTGTTGTCATGAAATCAATTTGTAAAAATTATGTTTTATGGATAGCGCACAAGACAAGTCAGAGATGCACCAAGAAATTCAGGCTACCGATCTGAAACAGTCCATTTTGAACCCCGTTGACCAGGTAGTCACAATCTCAAAAGTCCAACGTTTTTGAACGCACCACACTGCAGTGCTGGCAAAAATGCACTTAATCTGTTTTCACAATCTGAGGTGTTCAAAACTTAGTCCAAGGGGGAAAAAAATCTTTTTAATAACAATGAATTCATTTCTATGGTATTGTAAGACACTTTTATGATTCATTCAGACCATGAGAGAGCAAGACTTTCATCAGATAACAGGAAGGCTGAACGTTTTACAACAAAGTTGCTTTGTGTAATTCGATGGCCCAAACTTATTGTAGGATTTATAAATGATGGCTGCCTTTTTAGAAATTCAAGAATGGGTTTCTTTTAGTACTGCCAGCCATGCTCATCACCAATACAAGATGCTCAAAATGCTTCAAATTGTCAACTCTGTGAATTTTACGTCATTTTAAAATTGTACATTCCCGCTTTTCTGTGACTTCTCTGTCACACACGGCGTGTCAGTTCCCCCTGTCCAAATATAAATATCTGTTCCTGGCAGGATGGATAATAAAATAAATGGAATTCTGTTCTTAGAGAAATTTAATTAGTGTAAAATTGTTGGCATTTCAAAGCTGTACAAATGCCAGGGATTGTATGTCGACGACAAAACGGTGCATCTCTAGTACTAGTCGGCCTCTTTGTTTGTCAAGGGCAGAGTTTTTCATCCATGTACTCAGTGCATCGGCAGCTGCATAGATTGAAACTGTAATAGGCGCACTTTTATTTCTCTAATTAACGACTAGTTTTTGTCACTCCCTAATTAAAATATTTTCCTCAGCTCTTTCAAAAAGTTTATGGAGAAAAAATTGCACTTTCAGACCCTGAAAACCAAAGTCCTTAAGTATTGTATTCTTACGCTTTTTATGATTGTAGATAGAAGGAGAAAAAAAAATCACAATTTACCATTTTAGTTTCAAGAAGTGACCTGTTTCGGTCTGTCGGATCATGTCCAATTGTCTGTCATAAAAAGTAAGCATTCTCTGCAAAGGCTGAAAAACTCTGCTCACCTGACGACCCCAAGGCTGGGAGAGAGCGTCCCGATCATGTCACCATGACAGGTTATTAACTGTGTTCTGAGACCAGCAATGAGATGTTGTGCCTTTCTACTTTATTACTGTTAGACGAAGACTGACAAATCCGCAACCTTGCCACAGTAGCATTGATCTCCACCAGACAGACGAGGCTGCCCTCTGTCTGCACTCACAGGCAATATAATTATTCCTTTCACAGTGAACTGCCTTCTCAGTGTGTTTCTAACCGGTGTTTTTACTTCTGAAGGCTTTAGTTTGAAGCACTTTATATTTAAGTGAAAGATTTTACTCCAAATCTGTGTTCCTTCGTAGGCGAAGACATTGGGTTGACTGGGCACAGCGAGACAAAGTCGGTCGAGCCGATAATTTAAGACCATTGCTGTTATGTTTATATGAAGTAGCATTAAGAACATATCACTGTGTTTTGGAGGGCAGAGCTGCTCGACTCCAAACTAAGGCTCATTTGCTGTTGGGAGGGAAAAAAATCTCAACGTCAGAAAACGACACCAGTAGTTGCATATGATTTACTTTCCCTTTTTGGTTTGAAACATCTGTTTTATTTCTCTAGTGTAATTTATTGTGAATTATATTAAAAAAAAAAGATTTTACACATTTTTCTTGTTTTTTTCCCCCCCCCCCAATGTCTGAGAAACACATTGTTGGAACACAAAATGCTGCAATATTTTTGAAGCACAGATGAGAAACTTTATTTTCTTTTCATAGAAAACTATCTTGCTCCACTACAGACAATAAAAAAAAAGAACCTTTATTTAAAAACAAAACAAGCCATGTAAGACACCATTTTTTTTCACTACTTCCTGACGCTGAACAACAGAAACGGCTAAACAGACAACTGGCACAGTTTCAAAACGGTTTGTAACTACAGGTCATTTAACGGGTCACAGTTTGTTCTTATTGTACGGCGAAGTGCAACACTGTCATTTCTTTGGCTTTTCACTCCTTGAGTCTCATAAAAAGTACAAACCAAAAATCAGAATTTGAAATTAAAAATAAAAAAAAATCTGACTAAGTTAACCGAGTTAGTGGACCCAAAGATTTAAGCTTGTATTTATTGGATGAAAAACTTGCGTTGTGAACGAGACCTGGTAACTTTTGAACCTTATGAATTCTTCAACTATTTAAATCACAGAGTAAACAAAATTTTTTTTTTAAACAAATTTAACATTTTGACAAGAGAAATAGAACATAAGACAGGACAAAAAGATTGAAACACAAACAACATCTCTGACAGTCTTCCCAAACAGGGCCCTGTTGCAAATCTGAATGAACGATAAAATACAATGACGCTGCAACACAGGAACGCGTTTCCAAAACTTGCAACGAACTGAACCTTTAATCTTACACTTCTGAATGAGAACGTTGAGATCCCCTTACCGCCTCTGCTGCCTTTCTGACAGACTGACATCCATCTGAACCACCGCTCCCGCATGCATTTGCACAAATACATGCTGAATCACTCGCACGCATACACAGACACACCGTCGCGCAGTCTGTCCTTGGCTGCTGGGGACCTCAGACAGATCCCTGGATCTCCGACTTTCCAGGTCTCCAACATGCGGCGATCATGCAGAAGGTCCCGCAGCAGGAAGCAGCTGCCAACAACCCCCCGCCCTCCTGCTCCGACAGCAAACTAACGACGCTCTTTGTTCTACTTGTCTCCGCCGGACTCGGGCTCCTTCGCCAGACCGCGGATGGACAGGTCATAGACCACCTCTTCGATCTTCTTCACGTCGTACTTCAGACCGTCGTAGCGCTTCCTCAGCGGGTCGTTCTTCAGGTTGAGCAGGCGGAAGCCCGAGTCCAGCTCGTTGATGAAGTTGGAGATGCGGAGCGGCCGGCTGTAGTCTCCCGCTGTGACGCTGTTCACTGCTAACCGCGACTGGAGGAGCAAAACAAGTTCCATGTGAAGTTACTGAGTTTCAAAACCTGCCTACAAACACTGGAGTAAATGGAACAAAGTAAATATATAAATCTGATCTCATTAAATTTATCCTCAAAATATATAGTTGTTAGATTATTATTATTTTTGCCTGATGTCTCCAACAACTGTGTCCTTCCCTCTACAAGAATTATAAAGTCGGTTTATAGACAGACTTGGTTCACCTCAGAGCGCTTATAAAGCACTGAAATGAGTTCCGGTATACTGGGTCTCAAAGCTACAGCTCACAATATAAATATACACACAAATCTTCAGCTTATAAAAATCACACGTGAGCTGAAGACATCGTTTTATGCACACATGACTTTGATCGTTTCACTCAATACAATTACCGCAACTCACAAGTCCGTACACAGAAATCAACAAAACACTGTCAGCAGCACACCGCTCACCAGTTCACTGGCCATTATCAGCACTCCTGCCAGGAAATCTTCAACATCCAGGTGAAAGCCCTTCTCTCGCACAACTTCAACTGCCAGAGAGATGGAGAGGGGGAGAGGAGTTATTAGGCGGACCTTCTCACTTATAAAGACGTGGCCCTAGACGAAAACAGAGCGCCTACTTCCAAGTATCTGAGCCACCTCCTCCCGGGTGACGAGGGCTTCGCTTTCCAGGTAGATGACAAAGGCCGCTAAGAAGACCAAGCGCTGCAGGACAAACCGCCAGTGTTCGTGGAACCTGAAAAGGCGAATGAAATTAAAACATTTGAAATGTTAAGGGCTACCAAGTGTATAAAGCAAGGATCTACATCTCATTAAAAAACACACGTTAGATCACGTCTTATAAACACTGCCTGTGTAAGAGATGAAAAGCAAGAGTTCTGAGAAACTTCTTACATTTAAGTTTAGAAAACCTCCACAAGAAAATGCTTTGTCCTAATTATACGCATCGTGTCCAAAGTGAATCCTACCTGTAGTACTGCTCAGCAGGAAATTTGGTTTTGAGCTCAGCCATGTGCGTCCTTACAGTGCAGAATAACTCCCGTGCCCTGACACATCTACTGGGAACTGACAAGGGGGGAGTAAAAGTATGGCTTTGAGACGGTCAACATTTCAGAATAAACTGACAAAGCCTTGCAAATCGTCTCCAAAACTCACTCTCTTTGAAGCCAGACGGCTGGTGAACACTCTGAAGCACCGTGAGGATTTCCCTGGCGGTCTGCTCCAAATTCTGGACCACCTTACGAATGTCCTGTGGCGAACACGTTGTAAAGACGGACACAAGCACAGCAGCGTCAAAACAGAAAGAAGGCAAATATATACGAGTTCATAGGCACCGACGGGAAACACAGAAGAGAGTCGTTTTGAAGCGGTTTTGAGGTGCAGCTTAGTAAACTAGATTTCCGTTGTGTTCCGCGGCAGAAGCGGGTTAGCTTAGCGGCTAATGGCGATAGCGGCTTACCTCTCTGACGTCCTGGTCGGCGCTCAAGAAGCCCTGGATGTAGCTGAACATTTCAGTCACAGACATTTTCTCAACCTCGGGGGAATTACCAGATGAAAGCGCCCCAAAAATTAAAAAATAAATAAATAATAATACTATATTAAAAAAATATTTAAAAAATTCAGCAGCTAGCAGCTAATAAGTCCCGACATCAACGTGCGAGCCAACCGTTAGGTTTGCTTTGGTCAGCGCGCGGAGATGACGTCACCGACACTGACGTCACCCCGTTTTTTTTGACAGTAGTTGTTGAGGTTGGACTAGTTAACTCAATAAAGGCAGAGTTTCTTTTACCATGAAACCGAATTTGTAAATAAAAAAATATATAATATAATAATAATATATAATAATACTATTATGCCAATCTATTGCCAAAAATACATTGGCAATGATAGTAGTAAACACAAAAATATTGCCTATTAATCTATGCCAATGTGCATAGATTAATAGGGATACTATATAATTGTATATAGCACTATTATATCTACTTCTTATTTTTATTCTTCAAAATTAATAGCTACGTAACCCAAAATTGTCGCGTTTATCCACCATATAAAAGTTATTTGAGGAACATGATGCTTGTGAATGTTTAAACAGGATAAAGTGAAGCAGAGGCTGTCGTTTTTACTCGGTTAACTTTTAATGACCTTCAGTGATCAACTTTGACCTTGCAGTAATATTTCTAGGATCAGACTTCATGTGTGGATTTGGATCAATTTTGCACATAAATAATTGGTGTTGTTTGTGAAGTGTTGTATGTGAAGTGTCCTCCTCTTTTACCTGCTGGGGTTTGATGTCCTGGGAAAACATGTTGCATTACCTCATTCCCTCTACTGATGGCGCTGCAGCAGAGCAATTACACACGTTGCCTTTAAGTACCGCTGAAAAAAAGAGTAATCAAGAGCCTAACAGATTTTATCACTTCCCATCATGAAATGAAATGTTCCTGATTTTAACGATGTTATTATTACTCAACATTCAGTGACTTGATCAAATAAAATGTAAAACCAAATATAAATCAAAATAATCTTGATAATTAATTCAAATGTAATTGATACTTTTAGCTATTTAAGTTACATAATTTTTGTACATTATAATCTACTCATAAATATAGTATTACCAAATCCACTGGGTAACTTTTCTGTTTTGTAAAAATCACAAAAACGTAGCTCAGAAGCAGACCACTTCCACAAGACAATCAGTAGGAGTTTCGGCTCATAGCGGTCACATTTCCAACCGCCATTAAACCTATCACGGCATCAGCCGCCCGTTGCTCCATGTAGTAAAACTCGGCCGCTCATTTGCCCGCTGCGTTCACGCTCTGCCTGACGGCTCCACAGCCTCGCAGGTTGACGCAGAGACCTTGAGACGATGCAGTTATCCGGAGCAGGGACGGCGGCAGTCTGACATGGAGAAAACCTTCACGGAAGATGACTGCGTGGACTCGGGAGCAGAGACCGGGGGGTAAGCGGAGCCGAAGTGTTTCTGTCGCTTCTCCTCCTTAATTGAAAACAGCGAAACTGCCGAGTATTTATGTTGGAGTGACGCCTGCTTTGCTTTACGTATGTAAATTAAATCCCAGAAGTGTTGCTGCGCGAGCGAGTTTGAAACTCGACGGCGTCACCAAAAACCTAAAAAAAAAAAAAAAGTTTTCTTTATTATTTATTAGGCAACTGAGGTAAATACAGAAAAGTCTTTATGTGTAGGGACGTTTTCATGACAAAAAACTAAACTGGTGTGGTTTCGATAAGGAAAACTTATTAAATACAAATACTTTATGACGTATCCAGAGTCATTGTTGTTCCCTGTATTGCAGCTGTTAAACAGAGACGTGCTCCGGTTTCTGCTGCGGTATGTCTCTGTTGGTGTCGATGTGTTTCACAGTAGACGTCAATTAGTGCTGTTTACCTTTTGGAACACTGTGACATAGTGGTACATTTAGTAGTAGTCGTAGCAGTGTTGTTTCTTTAGAAAACAGATTGATCTCTTTGGATACCTGTGATAAGGTTTATTTATCTCATTGCCCAAGAAACCGGTGGTTAAAAACAAAAATTGGTTTTCTCAGCTGGAAATTTATGGCAGCAGACAGTCTGAACTTTGACAAAAACAAACACTGCTCTGAAAGTAAACCCTCCCCGTTATCAAACAGGCTGCATCCATACAGGAGCTGCATTCAGCAGTGCGACTGTCTCGCTAAACATTGCAAAAATAAGTGCAACTTGAATTGTCAGTTTTGTTCACCAACAGTGGGGGAATCGTTCAAACGGTAAAAGGAAACAGGCAATGTTTGACAAAAGATGTTGGGTCCACATATACCAAGTGCTTAATGTCAGAGGATTCACAATTTTTATTGTTGCTGAAATTAAAGTATAAATCAAAAGTGGTGTTAGAACCATAATCCACAAAGATTATAACCAACAGTTTGGCCATAATTGTTGCAAGAGATGTAAAAAGTTTAGATGAAGGTGGTACAATTGTTGTTGAGTCTGTTTGTCATTATGTCCTTGTTTAATCGGCTTTTAAGCCGTGTTTGAATACTTCAATTAGCCATAGTCTGGGTTGCAGGGTGAAAACTTGGAGCACTCAAAACGCTAATTCTGTCACGAAACTTGTTGATTTTTAACTTGTCTTTATTTATTGCGACAGTAATAAAACGTCATTCCTGTCACTGCACTACAACAGTTTTGCAAAGTTTGTAAAATGAAACATGTGCAATAAATTTTTGCTGGACGATAATTTGTCCCAGGCGTTTCTAAGCAATAATAATAACTGTAACAGCATAATAACGCATGAACAAACTTTGGATTCTAATGGACATTTAACACTGGAACTGGAAGACATTTTAAATGTCCAAAATAAATAAACAGAAACAACAAACAACATAGTAAACAAAATTGTCCTTCAACAGAAAAAGCAGCAGAAAACACCAGACTGAAGACTTTTGTCTGGCAGAAGGAGAGATAAGAGAAATCATTCAAATGGAAATTATTGAGTTTGTTTTATTTTGTTATTTGATTTATTGATTCAGTGCAACAGGCCCAGGTGTGCGATGATATTGATGGATGTTGCGGTAACGATGTGGCTCGTGGTAAATAAACAAATAAAAAAAGTGCTTTGTGTTCATAGATCGCTGTTGTTTACTGTTAGGGTTAACACCTGTTAAACATACATTAACAAAGACAGAAAAGACAAAAGAGTTCGATTCTTTTTCACTCGCGAGGAGAACGGACAGAGATGTGCTTCAGTTACAATCTCCTACCGCTCTGAAGCATATTTTGTCTGCTCCTCTATTTTATTGTTTCTAGGATCCCTAATCACAAGGACGCTGTAGCTCTAAAGGGAGGGGGCAAACAGCTACAGCGTCAAATGTTATTCACTAACTAACACACAATCATTCTGTACTAGATAATGTCCTTCCAGGCACAAAGATTAATAAAATATGTAGTGATCAATGATGGTTTTATTGGAGGCCAGCAACTCAACCGAAAGCAGAGCTCTTCACCAAGAGGTAAACCTGCAGGAAGATTTTGTTTCTGCTCTCTGTCAGTGAGGCCTTCTGAGAAAGGAATCAGAGTAAATCAACAATACAAGAAACATTCTTAATTCTATAATGAGATTAACTTTAAGGAAAGCATCAATTAAAGATACATTATAAAGATCAATGAGAATAACAAATAATTGATTAATAATATCACAATTTCTCCAACATTTACCCAGCGAGAAAAGCATTAAGATCTAGACAAACTTTATCATGTCAATGTAACAACTTTCCTTACAGTCGACAGAGAAAAAATAAAAAATTGATGGAAATAAAAAATAATGACCACATTAATAATGCCATTCAATTCATTTTCGTATCTCTGTTTCGTCTTGAATGGTTTTTGGAATAAAATCGGCCTAATAGAAGCATTTGGTTTGGCGTCGCTTTTTTAACGTTGAACTAGAATCGCTCAGAGATCCGATTTATGACGATCAGCACGGAGCCACATCAATGGAAAGTGCTGATGTGAAAGAAAGGAAGAGCGGCTGATGTCCACCGAGCTGCCTCCTCCACACAATCCCATCCTGCTCCTCCTCCACTCACCTCCAACACCTCTGACCTTCAGACACCCGTCACCTCCACCCCAGTCACACAGCTCCTTAAGGTCATGCTACATTTTCATTTCATAGCTCCCTGGTCTTAATCCAGTTTGTAGTGAAATAAAATCAAGTTCAGCTTTGCCTTCCTCCTTCCGATCTCTGCCTCTCTGCTTTCCTGCTCTTATCAGGCGGCTGACGGCTCAGTCTGCAGCCCTTCAGGGGTCATTCTGACTCACGTTGGGTCACTGGGCCTTGTTTTTAACTCGCCCAGCCTCTGCCTGTCTGCGCTTCCACTTTCTGTTTTATTGTCTTTGGAGGGAGATGAAGGAAAACGGCGCTTCCAGTCTCGCAGCGTCAGGCGGCTCCGAGATGTTAGCCGGAGCCACCGCTGCCAAGCCCTCGCACCCCGAGGGAAACGTCAGCTGCACACGCCGCCACCTCCAGCTTCTCTCCAGAATTATTTCCATTTACAATTTTTCTGCTTCTTTTTACTTTTACGAAGCAAACTTTTCTTTAAACTTTTGCTGTGTGTGTATTTCCTTTGTTCTCCCTCTCTTTCTTGACAGTTTCCTCTCCAGAGTACCCCACCATCTCTCTCTCTCTCTCTCTTTCTCACTTCACCTCCTCAACCCACATCACTCTCATCCAGCGCTAATTCTCATTAGGCAGACTGAAAACCTCCTGCAGCAGGAAACAGACCCTCTCCTCTGCTTCCTGTTGCTCCAGAGCCCTTATTAGTTTATCGACGAAGACGCAGGAGGGTGCATGTTGGAGGGACGGTGTTCTCTGGCTGTCAGCTAAACCCTGTGGGACTAATATTCTCAGCTTGGAAAGTCCATGTGTGAGCTGAGGCTTCGCAGATGGTTCCTGCAATTACATAATGGAGAGTGTTGGTTAGCTGCCGCGGTCAAATTCGCCAGCATGTTGCATTACCTTACAGTCTTTGTATTCGTACCTCGAGAACATTGTCGGATTCTGTCACGCTTCAAACTTTCAGCGTGGCGTATTGGGATTTGCTGCGGCAGACTGGTGCTGAGAAGGACGTGATTAAAATATTTCTCCAGTTTGTTCACAGATCAAAATCTGAACATCGTGGCATGTCGGAGGGTCCGCCAAGTTTAGAAAACAGTGTCAAAACTATTCAAGCCATCACGAATGGCAAGCAGCGAAAAGAGAACTGTGATCAGAGTGGTGGTTCTGCAAAGCATTGGCTGAAGGAATACAAAGGCATGCCGCACTTTTCAGATTGTAAAAATGTAACGCATGTTGCGTTTCCTCTTTTGCAATTGTGAACTACGTTGTGTTGATACATCACAAAAAAGCCCAACGAAATAGCATAAAGTTTGTGGTTCTAAAGTGACAAAATGGCAGAAGTTCAAGGGTCACATATCACACACAAGGCAATGCAGGAGAACTTCTGTTGTTTTATATTTAGTAAATATTTCTTTAATTTGTTTATTGCTAAGCGTAGGTTATTAGTTTTCTAGGAAATTATTAGTCTTCTTGCTTATCACAAACCTTAAAAATAATTTAGTATGCTGCATTGAGAGCTCAAGTAATTTGTTGACTTTCATATGCTGGAACTTTGCAATTAATTAAATACACAACTAGGAAATATTAGCATTTTCTACAAAACAGCAGGGTGAAATCTTTAAATTGAATATTTTTTGGTAGAAAATTTCTGAATAAACTGAAGTTGACAGAACAAAACAATGGCATAACTATTGGAAGTAAAAGCAAAACTGTCAAAAAATGTTGAAAATTAACAAAATGGAAGAAACTTCAGAAAAGCAACGAAACAAAAAACCACTCTGATCACAGTTCTCTTTTCGCTGCTTGCCATTCGTGATGGCTTGAATAGTTTTGACACTGAAGAAGAAGCACAACTTTTAGCAGCAAAGTGGTAACGTTGATCCAAAACATGCTGCAATGTAAAAATAAAAACAATAGAAACTTTTAAATAGTAAAAATATTATAAAGGAAATGCAGATTTGTCAGCTGATCTGCTGAAATAACTTACAAAGAATTGATTTGATCCAATTCATAATGACATCTATATGAGCCAAAAAATGACTAATCTGATATCAAGTGACACTTAAAGTGATAAAACTTTTACTTTATAATTTTCTTTAATCCCTTCAGAGGAGAGCTCAAGATGTTTGCTAGAAGTCATCTTGCAGAGGAAATGAAACAACTTTATTTGGTTGGCGTCTTCACGCCTTTGGATCATTAACACGTTTTTATTAGAACTGATGTAAACTGCAACATTATTTCTGTAATTTTTTTGGGGGGGGGGTAGCAAAAAAACCAAACGCAAAACACATCTGGTCAAGTTTTTCTATACTGGTGGAATCCGTTTTCTGAATTCTCGTTGGGTCTGCAGTCATGTCCAAATGCCTCCAGCTGAATAATGTCTCATGTTGCTGTTTTACTGCCAGGAATCCCAAATATGTTCGTTCCCTCTCATTAAAATGTGTTTCAGCTTAGCTGCTTATATTCAGTGTAAACAATTTGATCGTATTGCAACAAAACGGTACCTCAGGTTGTCAGATCTACCATACAGAAACATCACTATCAGCAAAACCGGTGAGGTCCTACACCTAAAAGCAGAAATTAGTTTATTTCTTGAAATAGAAATTGACACTTTAGATGCTAAAGATGAGTTCTCTAATGCACTCTACAGTTAGACAAACAAATAAATGGTGTCGCACTGTGAATAGCGACCTTTCTGACCTGTGTCGGAATGCTGCAGAAATATGCTCTCACCTAAATTACACTCTGGTGGAGCAGAGTGTGGTGGGGATGGTATCTATCCGAGTAAACGTCCCAGGGTTTTATCCTGACCACACTACGATGTCTATGCATTTTTGTGACCTGTCCAGCTGGACGTCTTCTACGCTTTAACCAAAAGTCGGTATTTGAAATAGGAGCAGGTCATCCGCATGTAGAGTGCATTTTTACAGTAATATAAACTTCTGTCTCTGCTCTCTGTGTCTTGTCTTCCTCTTCTTCCTCCCAATATGTCCACATCTCGTCTCTGTATTCATTTATGTTATTTTCTCTTTTGTCTTTTCTTTGCAGATCTGATTACAGCCCTCTGTCCTCGACGAGCAGTAAGTGACCTCGACACAAAGCAGAGCAAATACTAACGCATTCAAACTCACAGCTCAGGTGCAGGACTTTATCTCCTGAATGCAGCCTGACAAAATAAATCTTCTCAGAGGGGAGAACGGTGGTCGGGGGGGGGGGGGGCTTTGGTGGGCTTTGTCTGCGCTTAGTGGTTTCTGAAACCAGGAACATTTTTAGGAAAAGGGCTTTTGTGTAGAAAAATAAAAAACAACAGCATCAGCTCGCTTTTCACAGTTCCTTTCATTGCTCCGGCATGCAGTTTACCATATTTTATGTAGCACAATGGAATTTGAGCAAAAAAAATTAATAAATAAAAATATCAAGGAAATGTTTAAATTGTAAAGGATATATTGGTAAATATCCCATGCAATTTAGCTGAAAAACAAAATGTGAAGAAAAAAAAAAGTTGCAGTAACTTGGCTACACATCCATGAACATTTTTTTACTTATTGATTCATTTCAATACGGTGAATCAAATTGAACTGATGCTGATCTTGTTCATATTTGACATTCTACTCACATAAACTCTCAAATCCAACATCTTTTTTCTCTTTTTGGTCCTGCCTCCCGGTGTGAGGTGTGAGGTCCCAGCGTTTTATCCTGACCACACCTGGGGTGTGAGGTCCTTTTCTTCAGGAACTGCCTGTTCCTGAAGAAAATATGCCGTGTTTTTTAGAAATATATATATATATATTTATAAGTGAGGGCTGAATTATCTCCTTTTTACTGGTTTTGCTCAAATTAAGAAAGTTAGTAGATTGTCATATTGTGATTAGCCTTACTTTTTGTTCTTAACTAAGGAGCCAAATCCTTCAAAAACTGCTGCTGACTGATACCTTTACAGCTCATACACTTGTACATTAAAGCACTTTATTTGTACATTCTCTCCTCTATAAAATGATTCACTGTAGTCTTGTTTTCAAACCCTTATAGATAAACAGGTGTTTGGACACAAAAAGTCAAATAATCTAGATGATAATGTAGCCACCTAGATGCCTCGGATGCATTTTTTAAATAACTGGACATATTTTTTTTCTACTTCTGCATATTTCCTGGTCTTATAACTTGTGCAATAAGTTGACACAGTGCTGCAGCAGGTGGACCGTCAGCTGTGATTAAGTGCAGTGCTAATTTAAAGATCTTGGTTTGCAGAGGTCGTGACCTGCCTTCAGTCACTAGGCCTTTCACAATGAAGGGATTAAATCTAATGTTAGCCCATTAATCTGGTCTTAAGGACGCGGCCTTATCCCAAGCTGCACCACACCCACAAGTCAGGAAGAAGACACACACACAGAGAATAATTCATCAGTGGCCGTCTGGTTTGGTTTTCCTCTCATGTTTCCTTTGTCACTCTTGTATCAGATGAACTTCTGCTCGCTATTGTCATAGCCGGAGGTCGACGCAGAAGCAAAATGCTGTCCAAACACACCCTGCACAGTTCCCTGCGAAAAGCACTTATTCTTGAACTTTCTCCAAGTCTTTTGTGTTGAAAACTACAAAGTGGCTCATATTTTAAGAAATGCACACAAAAGTGGTGCAAAGTTACACATGCTGGAGGAGGATGATATGTCATGAGTCTCAAACCTTTTCACAAATAAGGCTTGAGACTCAGAAAAAGCTTGGAATGCATTTTTATTTATCCGTCTTTACTCTCCTACCTCTAAATAAACTCCAATGCAGCAAGTTTCCTTCAGAATTAGTAAATAGAGCCGACCTCAGTTTAAACCCAGCCGCTCTGCAAAGGTTTGTTAGAGAACATCAGTGAACAGCTTGACACTTACAAGCCTGTAGTTATACTAGGAAAGACTTCCAGCTGTAATGCCAGGGGGGCTAAATAAGAGTGTTTTTAATTATTTATATAAGAAAAATTTAAACCATGTATCATTTTTTGCAGTTTCTGACTGTTAGGTGACAAAATGTTAATTCTTCTTTAGCCACATATGTATATATATATGATCTCTTCCTGAGTTAAAACATTAGTATTGTTCTTTTTAAAGGAATACAAACTCTTTTTTTTGCATTATTTGAAGTCTTAAAGCGCTGCGTCTTTTTTGTTGACCATTTCTCATTTTCCACTAATAAATGCTTCATTTTTGCTCTTTAATTTCAGAGGCACGTCGTCAGTAGTTCATAGAATAAAAGAGTAACGTTCATTTTACTCAAACATATACCTATAAAAAATAAAATCAGAGAAACTGAGAAAAGTCCCAAAGCTCATGACGAAAGCTGGTGTTTAAAAAGCACATGTCTGATATTATCTACTTTAAAAAGACCCCATCTATATGAAATAAAATGAAGGAGATTATGTAGGAGAGAGTTTGCTAGTCATAGGAGGTGCGATTGAGCTGAGTCTGAGTGACCTATGACCCCGTCTCCATTAGTTTCCCTGATGTGCCTATCCACATATATAAGAGTTATGAGGCTGGCTGCAGGGTAATGAGTGTTTCTGGACCAAAGGAAAGAGCTGTGACTGCATGAACTCACAGAGACGGAAAAACAGACAGAAGAGGACATGTGCTGCATGATTTGTCTCGGCTATACTAACCAATATGTGGTGGATGTAAATTTATACGTGGAGGTCCGAAGAACGGCTGATATCCAGGAGACAGAAAGTTGGACGAAAGATAAAAAGATAAGTTGAGATGCGTTGACGACGGCCAACTTTGCTGGTAACGCTAAAACCAAAAGGACAACAACAGACACTGAATGAGTGTCTTCATTAGAGGCAAATGAGGAACAGAAGGAAAATCTTCAAAGTGGCAAAAAGAATTAAGAGAAGAGATTCAGCTTATTGAGGGCTTTTCTTGCAACACAGAGGCTCGGAAAAGATTGATAGATGGCGGTTAGCGGGTTGACACGGAGGAGGTTCGGATTTTCAGGGATCTCACCGTCACCAGCAGATGTTTCACTTGCGGAGCCAAGTCGCATATTTAAGGCGTAACCCAGTAAATTTGTTTTTGCATCCTGCATTCTGAACATGCTTTGCTGCATTCAAGCAATGCATTTTTGTGTACTGTGTGTTTGGTTGCCAAATATGTGAAAACGTCAAAACTGTTGCAACTAAATGGCTCTGTGCCGAGGGTCAGACTGCAGCCTTTGTTTCATTTCCAAGTCTTGTACCTCGTAGATCACATGCACTTTGATTTATTCGGGTTTCCTAACCATTTGGCACAGCTGTGTTGCTTTTTCAGAGTTATTATCATATTCTATTATCAATGACTGGCCCGTTTGTTTGCTTGTGAGAGGGATTTAAGCATTCGCCTCATGGTACGTCTCATCTTCACAGCGCCGGGTTTCCTTCTGGACAGCAGAAGCGTTGCACTGATGTCATTCAGAGCTCCTTGGAGAGCCGTCAGTGTGAATGAAGCTTCTGCTCTCTCGTACGAAAGCAGACACTCACACAAAAACCTGGACGTACTTTCTGTTTGGCTAAGCTTATTAGATCCAGATTCCGCTATAAGACAGCTCACATAAAGTGCTACCAAATTATTCATGTGCCAAAATGCGATCTGAACCACGAGTCTGGGGTCACAGCTCGAAACGCTGCAGTCAGCTGTTTGCTAATCGAAGCCACTTTTTTCCTCTCGCTGTCTCCATGTGATCCTGCATTCATTCTTGTGCACAGTGAAGTCGAACGGTGCTGTCAGGCAACGTGGGCTCATGTTTCATAACTCAGTCTTATTTTGACTCAGTCAGCAAACTAGTAGCAATACAGTAAATCAGTGCAGGTTTTTCCATGTTTCTGAAGGGTTGTTTTTATTTTTGGGCCTTTTCATTTTGAAGACAGTAAACGGCTAGCTGGACTGCTCACAGCTAGATTAAGTTTAAAAAATTCCCCAACATACAAATCAATGTGGATTTGGATAGAAAGTTAACCATCTGTGGCCTAAACAATGTGGGCTGTGCATGTTTGTAATTTTGGACAGAGTCGAGAAATTCCACGCATAAATGAAATTAAAGCGCCGATCAGGCCTATTGGTCTCCGCGGGGGTTCCTGTGCCGCCATCCGCTCGCCACCGCGCGGTTCCCCCTTCGGCATCGAGGCGATACGCATCGATGCGTTCGGCAACGCTTCCTGACGACGCATCCAAAATCTGGTGCAGAACACACGCTCTAAAACAGAGCTGTGGTTTCTGCATTACGGCAACAATCTCCTTGAGGTCCATGTTTTTACGTTCAGCCTCAGATTTAGAAAACTTATTCTGTTTCCTGTCTCGTCAGTCTTGTTTTTATGGCTCACTAAGACTTCTACAAATGTAATTGTTCAGCAATCTGTCCCTAAATCTATACTAATTTACCTAAAGTCAAATCAGCTGCAGTAAAAACGACCTTCACGTTGTTATTTAAAAAAAAATCTGATTACACTGAGAGTGCAGCGCTCGTGGGACCGCTGTTCCCCTATCAAGCCAAACGCCCTCGTCCCAACTCAGATTTCCTGGCACTCATGACTTTTGGCTTTGGTGCGAAGTCTCGTCTCCTAATCTTTGCAGTAACCGGTAATAATCTAAATGCTTCCTCCTCCGTCTGAAACCAGCAGCATTTTCAGGCCATGAGCAGCGGCTCCACATTTCAGCCTGACTTTTATCTTCTGTGAAACGTCAGGCTTGGCAGCACAGACATACAGAACTCTTTGTGCGTCGCTCTGTGGGAAAAGAAGTCTGGACTTCCCTTCGTTATTAGACCGCGCTTATGTCGCTAGTAAATAATCTCATCAAGCGAAAGTGCCAACTAGTGTTCTGGTTTGTCTTGCAGACGAGCGAGTAAACAAACCCGCGTTCATTCTCTCGTGTCAGCCAACGCAGTTTCATTTCATCGTATGCGTCGATGCAAACGCGCGGTTTCCTTCTGCGAAGCGCGAGATGTAGCTCAGGAACAGTGACTCCCATTTTACTGCATGTGAGGCGTCTAATTGAAAATGACATCTTGGGAAACAGCGGGGAAAGATTTTACAAAGTAGTAGGAAAAAACAAATAAGCAAGTAAAT